ATATGTGACCCATCTATATGGTAACTGTGACCTTAAAATTCATTACTCTGTGACCTTAAAATATAACCTGTGATCTATAATTTTTTAATTATTTTTGATCTGTGACTTCGAAATAATCTGTGATAAAATTGCATATAACTGTGTTCTTAACAATTGCCGGAATCAGAGCAGTCGTCGGAATTAAGCAGCGGTATAATGGTCAACGGAGTAGTCGCCGGAATTAAGTACGCCGGAATTAAGTCGCCTGAGTAGTCGATGAAGCGATGGTGGGGGGGTGGGGTGGGGTGGGGCTAATTATATTATATTACAGTTAAATATTTAATTTAATATAATAATTGTGAAATATAATTAATTAATTCAAAAAAAACTTAATTTTTACAATTTTAAACTTTAGGACCTGATTTTTAATTTTGGTAAAGTAAATGCCTCATTCATACATTTTTCCCTTAAATTAATCCCAGCCCAAAACTAACAAAACTTTGGAGCCCATTTAATAGAAGTTTTTTTTTACCAAACCTAAATCACAACCGTTCTATTGAATATTTGAATTGAAACTCCACGGCCACTAATTCAACCTTCCGTTGCGTCGCCCCCTGCTTCGGTCTCCAGACGGTAATCGCACCCGCCACCACCTGAAATTTTCTATGAATTGGATATGTCTATTGTTGTTCACATACATACATTCAGTTAGTAATTTCTTTCACTTTTGCTGATATTCTTTTTCAAGTGTTTGATGTTTCTCAAATTGTTTTTTTTAGCTATTTGGGGATGGGAAATCTGGTTTGGCTGTTTGGGGTGGGGATCGTGCCTTGGGGTGGGTGGGTGTGACTAGTTTGAGCGAATTTAGAGATGGCCGAATCTAGGGCTGCAAATGTATATAAATTTACCAATTTTCCATTCCTTCAGTTACTTTTAGTTGTGAGGGTTTTATAGTATCTGAGCGAACTTTTCATTTGGCTAGTTTTGTTCCAAAGATTTTTTTTTTTTTTTTGGAATTAGGCACTCGAGAATGTTCCAAAGATTATTAAAATTATTCTCATATTTGCTCATTATTTATTAACAGTTTTGCAAAGATGATGACAGGAATTCGGTAAGTTTTTCTTTTTTCTTTTTTAGTTCTCTAATACGCTAGAATGGATTTTCCATTGTTGAGGAACGATTAATTATTTTATTTTTTAAATTCCATGAACTGAGAAGTTCTATTTTTTCTACTTTTCCTGCTTTTTTATTTGATTTGAAGGGGTATGATTACAACAACAACTTCAAGGGTTGTACCTTTGGCCATTTGTTCTACCTTCCGTAGTCACCATTTAACCCACTCTGTCAACCATACTGGCCTCTCTGGGAAGCTCTTTCACAGATTGTTTCCTTCATCTCTTCATCACTACTCCACCAAGTCGACCTTCAAGGAGTTATTTATGCGAGGGCAAGAGGAGAAGAAGGTTCACTTTTTAAATTGGTTTTTAGTTTCTGCTTTGTAGTCATTATTGATTTTCATGTAAGAATGTATTTGATGGAATAACTACTATTGTTTCATTTTTTACGTAGTTTGAGAAGTCTCCAATGCTCTTCCACTCTACAATTGAAGAACGATCCAACCAGCAGACTTTACTACTAACTAGTAAATACAAATTTGAAATCTTGAATGTTGAAGTTCACGTGCCTGATGTCTCTTTCTTTGATGACGATGATGCTCAAGGTGAAGAAGTGGTGCCCTTTTTTCCTGAGGAAGACGATTATTACAATGATCTTATGGAAAAGACACAGCATTTTAGTATACCTTTTGTTGCTAAAGTCACATATGATATTGGGAAAGGGTTGTCTTTTAAGTTAAGGTGTGTTGCCTATCATGACAAGATCTCTTTGGACTGCTTGACTAAAAATAATTGTGCATCTTTCAATCAAACAGATAAGTAAGCTTCTTGTATCTTGTTTATTTTGATTATGTATTTCTCTCAATGGTTTGTCATAGTAATATGCAATTTGGTATTCTGGTTTTCAGTGACATGATTGCAACTCTGCACAAGACTTATCTTATGTATCTAAAAGTCAGAGGAATTACGCCAGACATTATCTATTACTTGCATGAGTTGAAGGTTGAGCTAAATAAATTCAAATGGAGTTTTGCTGAAGAATCTCAAAAGCTTCCCCGAAGATCTATGAACTCTGAAGAGCTGTACCAGCTATTTCTTTCATCTCTTTATGATTACTGCCGCAGGTGGCGCTTTGATGTGCATACACCACTCGATGAGTCCAATTCAAAGAAAAAGCAGGTTCAATTTTTCTTTTTCTTTTTTGATTCTTCATGGTAGCCAAATAAAATAAATTTAGGAATGGCAACAGGGCAAGATGTGAGATTCTTAAAATACTGTCCCCACTGTTAGATTTTCACTGGGCGTGAATTTTACTCTCCATATTTAAGTTATAGGGGATTTTTTATTATCATTTTTCGCAAAATATATTTTTCTCTCTATTCTTTTCAACTACACATTTTTCATTATAATAACATTACACGCAAATAAAAAAAAATCATTCTTTTTTAACCATACATTCTCCTTCAATCTACTATTTCAAAATACATTTTTCAAAAATAATGAGGCTCAAACAGCTCCATAATATGGAAGTAGGTGTAGGATAGCTTCTTTATTGTTTAAATATTTATCCCTCGTTTGACCCTCATTCT